TGTATCAGCGATGTGTGTGTGTGTGTGTATCAGTGATGTATGCATGTATGTGTGTGTGTGTGTGAGTGTGTGTGTGTGTGAGTGTGTGTGTGTAAGTGTGTGTGTGTGTGTGTGTGTGTGTGTGTGTGAGAGTGTGTACTCACTGTGCTGGGCTTCATACTGTGCTCCGTGATGCTGTAGTTGTTGGCTGCGCCGGTAGCAGCTCTCTCCGATCTTCAGCGCCTGTTTGAAGAGTTTCTCTGCCTCCACGATCGTCGTGGCTTCTTCCTCAGCCAGGAGAATATACGCCGTCGCACAACTACAACACACACAACAGATTCAACACTAAACATTCCTGATCATTAAGCACACACATTTACACTGACAGCACAGGACAACAAACTAAGAATTAAACATGCTGATAGAGCATTACAGCAGCACATACGTATTTCACAAGCCACAGGAAATATCTGATTGAGTAATATGTGTAGATTAATCTAGCTAAGCTATCAGTGAGTGAGTGAGCTCACGTCTGTCAGCACAGAAACACACTCACTCCTCCAGATCCAGAGCTTCATGAGCGGCTGTGATCCGAGCCTGAGGATTCCTCTCTCTCCAGGCCTTCTGCATTACTGTCAGAACACACACACACACACACACTCTTAGCCACAGGTCCTCCAGACACTGACAGTGCGCTGAATGCTCTGGATGTTGATGGTAATGCTGCTCTTACTGGCGTCTGCAGGCCGCAGGTGATCAGAATCACACGTGAAGAAGGTCTGATGATCTTGTGCCGACAGATTCATGTCGTAGTATGTGAGCGGCTCTCTTCCCGTCACCCACGTGTATCTGCAGCGAACGCATTCACATCAGCATCTCAATGCAGCTCACAATTCAGAAAGAGACAAAAAAATGTGCAGCCCTGATTCTAACACAGTTACTAACAGCATTTACTAGACGGGTAAAGATTCAGGCTTGCTTTTGCATCAAATGAAGCACTGAAGAGGCTCAGAGACGTTCACTCACCGGTTATATTCAGCTCCTCTGAATAGATTGAGAGGATTTCGCCAAACCTTACACTCTAAACACACACACACACGAAACATTAGCAAATACACGCTGACTGTGTTTGAGTTCACCTAGTAAGTGATTGATGAGCAGCTAACCACAGTGTGTTAATGTCAGACTGGAGTTCTTCTGAGGAGCAGGTTCATGTGTTTCTTAGAAAGTTTTCTCATGTTTATTCAGTAACGCGGGCTGACCTGACACACTCTGCCGGCTGGAGTCGGCGTCTCCGTTACTGCTGCTGCTGCTGGAGCTGTTGGGCGAGCTGTTATCAACTCCACCTAACAGAGGACGCAGATGACTGACAGACACCTGCTCGATGAAGGACGTCCCATACTTCCTGAAGTACCACCACTCGAAGATCTGCAGCACAGAGACACACGCCCTTCATCATCATCATCATCATCACAGGTTCAAAGGTCTGTCTGAACAATAACACTCAATAATATATTCAGCTGCTCCCTTCAATAACTAACTCAACAAATAATTTCTGTAATGATTCTAACTTGATAAATACAGAATCAATTTGGATATTACATTGCAAGGAAAAGATTATATATATATAATATAATGCCACAAAACAAAATCTAGAGACTCATTCAGATACTTTATATTCCAGCGAAATCCTAATGAAGTCACTTCATTCTAGAGTGTTTGACAGGAGTGAATCTAACTCACCAGTATGAGTCCAGAAATGAGGGATGAGGTGCCCGTCAGCGCCACGTAAAACTTAGGGGTCAGAGTGTTGAGGAACATGCTCACTGCAGAGAAAACACCAAAAGAGAGTAAATCAACTCACACTGAAGCTGCAGAGAGAAACATGAGTGACACACACACTACACCATCATTAACACTATTATAAAGACAACACAATCTCATCCACACTAATGAAGTCTAATTACTTCTCTCAGATCAGCCTTTCTGTGTGATTAGATTAGATCAGGGATTTAATAACCCATCCTCTAAATCTCAATCTAGCAGCAGGTTAACCGATCAATACACTAGTGTTTACTGGTGATTCATGTCTCTTTGTTCACAACACATTGGCCAATTTTCTTTTATTTGATACAACGTCAAATGTTACAAATGTTTTATTAGATTCGGAAACAAACATTAAACAAAATTAATACATAAATGCAAAAAAGTCAAAGTATCGTTCTTTGTTCATTTATGGTGTGTCCATGATAAAGCAATTAAAACACGCGTCACGTTCTTATGCTACTCTTGTTTTTTTCCATCGATTTAATAACAAAATGTATTTTAAAAGCATCATGAATTATTCATTTACAAATACTATGTTTTATGGAGTTTTTTCTAACTAACCTTGACTAATGATGACGTCTGCACCACATGACTCTAATTTAGCAGAAAACTAAAGTTTTTCATACAATAATAAGCAGTTTTGCTATAGAAATAATCAATTTTCTTTTCAATAATTTTATTATTTTACTGAGATCATGTCTCTTCATTGTGATATCAGAACAGTTGCATCACCCTGACATTTTTATTTTTTGCCACCCCTAAACATAAAAACTAATTTTAAATGTAAAAAATAAAAACAATAAAAGAGGTGTATTGATGTGATTGTACAAACAGCATTTCTGAAAGAATGAACCGCACCATAAATATCCGCACATTTCCCTGTTTGAAGAATCAATCTGCTTTACATTTCCCCTGAATCATTGTTATAATAATCACTCCCACACCTGCACGACTTGAACACAAAACAAGGTGTTTTTAAGAAATATCTCTCTATTTTTTTTGTCCATACAATGAAAGTCAACTTAAAACATTCTTCAAAATCTCTTCTTTCACAGAATAAAGTAGGAACATTGATCATGTTTGGATGAACGATTTTAATACAGCAGATAAAATGAAAACCATCGTGTAATGGCTTTAGTCTCACTTCTGCTCAAATATCACACACATCATTCCTCATGTATTCAGATTAAACTACAACAGCTGAATAATAATCAATACTAACAATAACAATAAAACGAGGTCTTTCCTGACACGTGTCGTCTTGTTATCCATGTACTTCTCTAACTTATTAATAAACTGTTTATGAAAATACAGCAGGAGAAACACGCTTAATAACGCTCTTATAATCGCAGATATTCGTGTTGATCACTTTACAAGCACAGTTAGCATTGCTAACACACCACAACAGCTGAAGAGACACTATAATCATGTGATTGTGAGCTGCACTGCGTGATTGTATCTCTGTATTCGCGTCCATCATGTCTAGGCTTTACCTGCAGTCTGATGATGATCGCTCGACCAACGCGGCGCGACAGAAAACAGCAGAAGAAGAAGAAAGAAACACAGCAGACGTGACACACAATGAAGACACGCCCACTCGCACAAAACCCCGCCTTCCGTAACACAGGCCCCGCCCACTGGCACTGATCGCTGTTTCTGTGATAATCACCTTGTATGTAGTATTGTTGTTTATATATTTTATTTAGTTACTGGGAAGTGCCGTGTTTTATACCAATGTTTTTATACATATGGTTGAATTACAAATTATTAATTCATGAAAAAAGCACAGTAACCGCAGGAGGCGTTTTACGTCGTTTTATATCGTGTCTTTATCTTGAAGTGGTGTTTCTTTTCTTACCAAATGCGAATCAAATGGCTTTTAAACACTGTGTTTGTCTGTTTGAATCAGTAAACGTGTTTTCAAAAGTGCAAACTCAAAGCCTGTGGAAACAGACTTTTTTATTCGATTTTATTTTTTATTAAACATTATTCGAATCCAATGTGCTCGTCCCTTTGTCTGGAAAAATGTAATGTACAAAATAAGCTTAGGTATGACTAGCTACACACAGTTCTGGTTTAGTGTCAGTTCATTTTGATTAGTTTGATTATGTAAAAAATAAAATTTTACACAAAGGTCAAGAATATAACTTTAATTATTAAAATCGAGGATCGACAGCAGTCCAGAGATGTCGCTGCGTGCTCTAGTTACAATGAAGTTTACATCGAAATGCCTCAAAATCGGCTACTTTTATGCATGTTATGTTTGCATAAAGTAAATAAACCACAATGATTACATGGATGATAATTGTATAACAAAGAATCAGTAAATCACTGAGAGCATAGGGTTTATCACGACAGAACAGCCTGGGATTTGTGTATGGCGTGGTTAGTCGTGACGTCAGCACGTCCCGAGCTCTCGCGAGCGCAGGAAACTGGAGCAGCGACAAACTCTCGCTGGAAATTTTGTTTTAACTCTTTTTTTTCCTGCATTAATTGTTGTTTTTCGACCTCAGCCCGGCCGACGAATGACTTTTCTTGCGGATAGTGTCGTTTAAAGGACGCTTTGTGCTTTTATCCCGGTGTTTTCCCTCATGGATCAGATGGTGACGCGTCAGAGTAATTCACTCTAATAAACGCGTTTCGTTAATTTATATTTTAATAGTACAACACGTCATCAAACGTCGGCTTTAAGTGTTTATTTTAAAGGCTAAATTGTTTTATTCCTGCGCTTGCATGAGGATAATTTAGATTATTCTTACTGTAGCTGCAAATGCTAACTAGCGCAGGCCGCTATTGGAGTTTATTTATATATGAGTATCTAGGTATTGATATGATTTATATGTAAGTTACGTTATATCTGAGTGTATGAATGGCAGTGAGAATCTGACGGAAGTCTTTGATTGATCAGTGATGTCTTCCCCATCACTTAAGACTCAGATCTCTAGTAATGAGTGATGTTTCTCACTCATTATAAAGGCCTCGTTTGTTTTCTTTATTTTTTCGCTTATTCTAAGTCAGATTTTTTTAAGTGATTCGTGACTTATTTTACTCATGTCGTAAAGTTTAATGGCTTGACGAACAATTTGCGTCATAGTTGATATGTTAAATGTGTTAGCTGTGATTGAACTGGACACAGTTGAGAAGAGGAGAAACAAACCCTGCTCAGAATCAAGGTAAATAAACTCCTGTACTAATCTGCTGTTTGTTACCGATCTTCTGTCTGTTACTGATCTGATATTCAGTCTGTTACTGGTCTTTTCTTCTGTCTGTTACTGGTTCTGTCTGTTACTGGTCTTTTCTTCAGTGTGTTTATGGTTTTGTCTGTTACTGAACTGATCTTCTGTCTGTTACTGATCTTATCTTCATTCTGTTTCCAGTCTGATTTTCAGTCTATTGCTTGACTGATATTTAATCTGTTCTAGTGTTGGGCGAAATGCTCAATTTTCATATCGTCCTATCGTCAGCCTGTGAGATCGCCGATACACGATATTATCGTGCTAATTTATTTAATTATTTATTTACTTAGTTTCATTGCCGGAAAGTGAACCAACTCCAGCGTGAGGCTAAAAGCAGCCTAGTGTTTTTAATATGCCTGAATTTGTATTTTACATGATAAGAAATTAATAGAAACATTGTAAGTTAGGCTACTAATTATAATGCTTACATTTCCTCAGTTATTCAAAGAACATCATCACAAGCTCAGTCTAGCGCGAGTTTATGCACTTTAAAAACACTCCCGTTATAATCAGTATAATCTACACTATATATGATGAATTAATCTCTTATACTTACATCGCACGTACATCTGCACTTTGTTGTTTATGATGAGAGAATTCGCGAGTCAGAATTCAGTCAGCGGGCGCTGAACAACAGAACTGATCTGAACGCCTCTGATTGGCCAATGTATTCATAAGCTCAGCATAATCATGTGTGATTGGTTATAATAACGTGCAACACCGTAAAAACGCGGAAAAAGAAATATTATGCAACAAATAAGCCCTAATATTAATTAGATATTATTATTATTATTATTAGGCTGATAATACTAATAATAATAATCGTCTTGCTATCGTCAAAGGCATCAGCCACAGGCAATATCTCTGACTATCGTCAATACACGATACTATCGTCTATCGGCACAACCCTAGTCTGTTCGTTAAATGTCATTATTTCACTACTTTCTTGAATGCTTGGCCAGATTAATTACATCACTTTACCAAATTATTTCAGTTATTTCAGAGTTGTTTAATTCATCCTAACAGCATAGGGTGGCCATATGTGCCAATTATATGGGACACGTCCTGGCCAGGATTTTTATATTGCCTAAACCGTCCAAAGTAGTTTGACCAATAACATGCAGGTATTGTAAATAATCAACCAATCGTGGTGCGTGAGAAGGTGATCTACAGAGAATGTTCAAAGCGATGCAAATACGCGCGCTTGTTTGTTTGTTCATTCGACTTGAAGTGTCGCTGCTCACCAATCATTGAATGACACCAAAGTACTGCGAGAGTGATTCAAAAGCATGAGGAGCCCTCTGCTCTGCTCTCTGTCATACAACGATGCAATATCTCTGACTATCGTCAATACACGATACTATCGTCTATCGGCACAACCCTAGTCTGTTCGTTAAATGTCATTATTTCACTACTTTCTTGAATGCTTGGCCAGATTAATTACATCACTTTACCAAATTATTTCAGTTATTTCAGAGTTGTTTAATTCATCCTAACAGCATAGGGTGGCCATATGTGCCAATTATATGGGACACGTCCTGGCCAGGATTTTTATATTGCCTAAACCGTCCAAAGTAGTTTGACCAATAACATGCAGGTATTGTAAATAATCAACCAATCGTGGTGCGTGAGAAGGTGATCTACAGAGAATGTTCAAAGCGATGCAAATACGCGCGCTTGTTTGTTTGTTCATTCGACTTGAAGTGTCGCTGCTCACCAATCATTGAATGACACCAAAGTACTGCGAGAGTGATTCAAAAGCATGAGGAGCCCTCTGCTCTGCTCTCTGTCATACAACGATCGATCTGCACAGTTCAAACAGCCCAAACCTGGATATTTTAGGTAATATAGAAATCCTGGCAAGGACGCGTCCCGTAAAAATGACCTGTATGGTCAGCCTATAACAGCAGCTACAGCAAACAAACCATAATAAAAACATAGTGGGTAATTAAATAAAAAATAAACTTTTTTTTTATTACACCGACAACACTTACTCTCTCTCGCTCGCTCACTCTCTCTGTCTCTCTTTGTCCAGTAACTACTCAGTAATGACGCAACGTCTGTTACTAGTTCTGAAGGGACACCAACAGCATAATCCAACCGCCGCTCAACCCGAAAACAGGAATTCAATACAGTGGAATTAGGGCTGCACGATTAATCGAATGCGATCGTCATGCGTATCTTTCAGTGAAGCACGGTTCTGTGATCAGCAGTAAATCTCCATCTGAAGGCCAGAGAAACTCCAAATACGCCCCGCAGAAGAAAGGTAATGCACATCGTTCCAGGGTTGTGGCTAAAAGGGATACCGCTGCGGCTGGAAGCTATCAATGAAGCCGTAGTTCATAGACAAGCTACGCAAAACCATGATTATGAAATCGATGAAATCGTTCTGCGATTATGAAAGCAGTTTACGTAGCTTGTCAGTGAACTACGGCTCTGTGTAGTAAATGCTGCTCCATCTGAAGCCACTTCTGTATACCATCGAGCCTTTACCCGGCGAGTGCGAGTCGTTTATAACGTGCATTTGGAAAACCAACCTGCGTCAAACATCTTTCCAAACATGAGAAGCATTTATGAACCTCTTGTCCCACAAAATACCACATTTAACAGCCCTCTACGAACACCTTGGCAATTGAATCGCCATTGGCTAGTACATTTTTTTGTTTACTCGCCAGACTGATAAATATATACATACATATAATGAAAGCAGTTCAGTCTTCTGTTTCCTGGAACGATGTGCATTACCTTTCTTCTGCGAGGCGTGTTTGGAGTTTCTTCACGAGAGCGCCCTCTGGCCTTCGGATGGAGATTTACTACTGAACCGTGCTTCACTGAAAGAGATGCATGACGATCGCAGCTTTTAAATTGCGATTGTGATTTAATTTCGATTAATCGTGCAGCCCTAAGTGGGATATAGACAGGGGTACACATGCGTGACCAAAATAAAAAATGCGCTGTGTGAGTAAGTTCAGGCCGCTCATTTGTGTACCGACATGGCTGACAGCTGTAAATGTGCAATTACCATTTTAGATCGACAAACTGAAATACAGAATACGATTTCTATTCGAGCTGAAAGCAAAAATCTAGGCTATCCGCTGCCATTTATAAAAGCACAGTGCATTTCATTCACTGACGCTCTTCAGTCGGCGGCGCTAAACCCAGCAGTGCATATGTACTTACTTGCCAGCAACCCGCCAAAATAAAAGCTTGCTGATTTAAGTTTGAAAATGATGAAAATTCATACTTTCAAAAAAAAAAAAAAAAGAGTAAATATTAGCATTTTATTTTTAAGTTTAATATAAAATAATTGAATTTTGTATTTAATACTGCCTTTTTAATTTAAAATAAAATAGTATTATCACACTTTATTATTTTGTTTATTTTATTTTTTTTAAATTGTGAGAACCAGGCTGAAAAACTTATGTGCACCCCTGAATATAGACCTAAAGCAATTTAAACAGCCTTTTGTTCCTTTAATAACCTAATTTTCCCAAAGTATAGGTGACATTGCTGTGAGACTGTCCATGAGCGTCGTCTTTGTGTTGATGGATCACTGTGTGTCACTTCCAGCAGAATCCTGTTTAGAATCATGTTTTCTTGTGTTTCGTGGCGCTGAAGGAATTTGCTGCTCTCACAAAAGAAGTGAATATGTGTCGAGAGCAGCTGCTGGAGCGAGAGGAGGAGATCGCCGAGCTGAAAGCAGAGAGAAACAACACACGCGTGAGTTCTCACACACATTTACTTGCATGTACTAATTTGTTTGTTTTTATGTATTTATTTTATATATTTTTTTATACGATCGATTCAATCAAACTTGATTTTTTTCACTTTAAACACAGAATAAAGTAGAGCAGATCTGCTTCTTTGCGTATAGTTTTATGGATCATTGCATCCACAGTTATTTATTCAGTGCAGCACAGTGAATCTAACTTCTATAGCCGTGAATGGGAGACTGCCACAAATATATTTTTTTGCATTCCCAGCCTTTAAAGTTGTCCAAATGAAGTTCTTAGCAATGCATATCACTAATCAAAAATTAAGTTCTGATATATTTACGGTAGGAAGTTTACAAAATATCTTCATGGAACATGATCTTTACTTAATATCCTAATGATTTTTGGCATAAAAGAAAAATGGATAATTGTGACCCATACAATGTATTGTTGGCTATTGCTACAAATATACCTGTGCTGCTTATGACTGCTTTTGTGCTTGTCGCTGTGGGATAACGCTTGTTTCTGGGCTGTTGTAGCTGGTGTTTCTCACGGAGCAGAGTAATCAGAAGAGGGTGATGATTGATGGATCAGCAGAAGTGAATCACAGCTCTGATGCAGCACCAAACACTAATGGCCAGGTAAACACCACGCGACCACAACTTACATGCTCCAAAAAGTCATCTGAAGAGTAATCGATATGATGATGAGCTGATTAACTGTAAGCTTTTATTCACATATAAACATGATCATGCATGGAGCTGTTTAACTTAAATATGTTTAACAGAAGCTCAGCTGCACTTTCTTGACATGCCACTGTACCGTCCGGCTCTTTTCAACACTGTGTAAACAAATGGAACTTTATTTCTTCTCTTTCGGCCTGAGAACAGAAGCAGAATTGTTTCACTATGAGTGATATTTTCAACAAAATAATACCAGGGTTCCCGCGGGTCCTTAAAAAGTCTTGCATTTAGTTGTATCAAATTTAAGGCCATAAAAAGTCTTAAATTGTACAAGAAAGTCTTAATCATGATTTCAAGAGGTCTTAAACTTGGGGACGGAAAGACCAGAATTGCGATATGGCTTAATGTGACAAACTTCAAAATGCTCTGATTTCATTGAATATGAGCGCTGCACGTTTCAGAGTCCGGTGCTGCGCTGCTGTTTACTGCTGATATCAGGGGAACGCTTGTGTTTCTGCTGTTCCAAAAGCGCCACCTGCTGCAGAGAATGAATGTGCATTTTCAATAAGCCTGTTGTTTTTGTTCAGACCAATGTGAAAATCCACCCACGGTTTTACCCTGCAAACACGCAGAGCTGTAAATGTGAACTGGTGGATCGATAAGAAGATAATGCATTATAAAAATCTAAACAGTAAAACGTATTTGTTTTTTAATTAATATAATAATTTATAGATAATAGTTTAAATTAATATAATAATTAATACTTTTAAAAAAGGTTTAAACAGGCTGAAATGTGAAGTGTATCATTTTATGAACATGAACTGTAAATTATGCTTTTTACAGTCATTTAACAGTTTAATATGTTACTATAGACATTGTCCTACCCCGCTCATATGCTATTAATTTTATTTGTGCAGATCTTAAAAAATCTTAAATTTGAGCGTAAAAATCCTGCAGAAACCCTGAATTCAATGAAAGCGTTTCTGTTGAACATACTGCAGTTTCATGAGGTCTTCATATTCCAGTGTAAAGCATGGTGTGTGTTCACAGCAGCGCTTGTCAGACGTATCTATGGGTGCAGAGGAGGATTGTGGGAAGGACGGGGAGCTGCAGGAGGCGATGGACAGACAGAGTAAGGAGCTCCTGCACCTGAAGGAGCGTGTGGCGTCTCTCTGCAGCCACGTCGCTGAGCTGGAGGAGGATCTGGACACGGCCCGCAAAGACCTCATCAGGTCCGAGGACATCAACAGCCGCCTGCAGAGAGACTTACGAGAGGTACGACAGCAGAGCCTTCATCTGCAGAGGAGCGCATCGAACGAGCCAGTTTGTGACCATGTGTTTCTGTTGTTTCTCTCAGTCTCTGGCTCAGAAGGAAGACATGGAGGAGAGGATCACCACGCTGGAGAAGCGCTACCTAGCGGCTCAGAGAGAAGCCACGTCTGTCCACGACCTCAACGACAAACTGGAGAACGAGATCGCCAACAAGGACTCGCTGGTCTGCCAGGTCTGCAGCTCGTCTTTATCATGTTATACTTGTAGAAAACAGAACATTGCAGGGCTCGACAGTGCGACCATTTCAGTCGCATTTGCGACTGAAAACTACTGCGTGCGAATATGAAATTTTTTTTAGGAGCACCAGTGCGACTGACCCGATCATCATCATACTTGTGATTGCGCTCAAGGGAGCTTCAAAGGTTTCTACGTGTTTTTGCAGCGTCGAGTAATGTATCACAGACATATCTCAT